CGAGATATCGGGATAAATCAAAAAGTGACTTCAACGGCATGGTTTTCTCTATTCCCTGACTGGTTTTCAATGACAAAATTTTTAATTTCTTCTCGCGTTTTTTTACACGAAAAGCTCAAAGTTCCATTTGTAATTCTGTATTATTGCAATCGTCTGTTGTTGAGATATAAAGTATACAAAGACATAATTTAATATATGTTTTTTGTATATATTCTTGTACATTCTTGCTTTAAAATTTTCGTTTGTCTATGACTTATCGACTCGTCCTATCCTAATCTCTTTCACCTGATCATCTTAAGCAAACGTGGCAAGGTAAGAAAATACGGCAATAAAGTTGGCGAGTAATTATCCCGAAACCAGGTCGAGGTTTCGTTTTCACTGAAACATCATCGCGCCATTTTATTAATGTCATGCGGCGTTAAAACCAATTTTTCGATTCGTCTCTGCGACCTTTCGAAAATGCTCGAAACAACAGATTAATTCGGACAGTTTGCACGCCTCGATAATAGATTTGAAACGTTTTCTCGGCTGAAAATGTTGAAAAAGCTTCCTGTCGCGTGGCGATGAATTTATTACAGCTTATCGTTCGTTTCTGACATCTTTCTTCGTTCTCGATGTCAGCCTTTATGTATGATTAAGTGTGAAATGGCGATTTTTATCATTACGGGAGACACGAAAAGAAATTGCTGCATAATCCATTATATATCCATAGCATGTCGTAAAGGGATTAAACAAATTAAAAATGCTAATGGAAAATAACAGCTATCGTTTATTACAATTTAACACTTTTAATTTATTATTTTCTTTCTACTCTTTGTGACGTGATATTTTTGAATCATATAAATTTATGCAATTTTTATCATCAATTGATTGCTTCTAATAGATTTTTTCTCTTTAATATTTACGCTTATTGGACGAAAGTAAAGCTACTTATCGCGCATAGAAAGTATATATGCAGAGGGTCTCTGAGAAATTGAAATATCATCACACGTGGTATGTGGGAATATTTGCTTTTTGAATTGTAAGGTTCATAATCAGTTTAAATGATTTTAAAGAGCGTATATACAGCAATACTGTTATGAATAGGGGAATGGGGATGGAAAAGCATGGACTTAAAATGAAAGAAGAGCTAGCAAGTTAAAAATATTTTCAAGTTGGTTTAAAAGTAATCTTCTTTTGTAGAGGTTTTAATCATTGGTGGTCTTTATGAAATTTTCCTCATTTTTTGTGAAATTTTTCTTCATTAAAAATCTTGGAAAAGTTCTTTTTTTTTTTTTTAATAATTATATCAAATTATTTAATTATGTAATAACATTTTCCACAATCTGCTCTTTATTTTAAAAATTATCATTTTTCCCCGTTATTTCTTTTTCCTCTCGAAATCATATTTTACATCGGATAGATAATCTCGAATGAATTATAATAAATCGTTTTCTATTTTTTTAACATTAATTAAAATCGTGTGATAAATCTTGGAAACGAAAAACGCTTTTCAGTTATTAACTTTCGATAGCTTTTCGTTATTATCCTTAATATATCCACGCTTCTATTGTTGCATATAAATCGATTTCTTTTTATAGGCATTATTCTACGCGAATCGTGCATCGAAACGAATAATATTTTATAAAAAAAAAAAAATCCAATATCTTCTACAAATTTATATAAATAACAACTTATTTTAATAAAAATAAAACCCAATATTTCTTCTCTTTGAAAATCAAAAAACAAAGTTATTTTTTTAACTATAAACCAAAGATATTTCCAAAGATTCAATTTGTTAAGTGGGAAACGAAGTTTATTACCTATCGATATTATTTTCAAAGATCTTCATTATTTCTCGACACGAGAAATGAATTTATCGAATCGATAATATTTTTATTTCCTCACCAACAAAATACATACACACACACCCTACCCTGATAATTTTCAATTCAACGATCGCATCTCAAGCCCGCTTTCATTTCAAAGATTTCAGAGACAAACTTTTTCTCGCGTCCAATATTCTCGCGAAATTTAATAATATTGAAATATCGTGAACGTGATCGACAATTTCATCTATCCTTCTTTCTTATCCTTCATCCACTATGCACTTATGCACTTATTCCAATCTCTCTCTCTCTCTCTCTTAGTTCAATAGAAAGATTTCAAAGAACGAAGCTGGGTAATAGCCTTTTAGATAGAAGCCTCGTGCCTTCTTGGGCGACGAAGAGGAGGAGAAGAAGGAGGAGGAGGAGGAGGAGGATTGTTTCGGAACGGTTCGATGCACGTTGTTCGTGGCGCGTATCACGTTACAAGGCACATAACACGCATCCCGCCCTCCATAAGCTTAACACGGTTCATTTCCAACAGGATCAACGATCTATCGAGAGAGAGAGACCCCCTCTTAACATCTTGTTGTTGCTCAAAACACCTTCCACGGTTAACTAACCGCTGTCGAGTAGGCAGATGGGCGCCATATCGGTTCCAAATCGATTTTGGTAGATCGTTTTAAAATGTAAAGTTTTCTAATTAATTAATTCGATGATCGAGAATGTGTCTAACCCTTAAGGCTCTAATGTCGAGCTGGACTTGACAAACAGCTTCTAAAATAATTTAAAATGTTTTTTTTCTTTTCTCTTTCAAATATACTTTGTATATTTTACACGATATTTTATTGAAACCCTCTTTTTGTAAATGAATTAAGGGGTTGTTGCTAGGTTAAGAATTGATGAGAATTAGACACGATTTTTATCATTTCAAACGAATCATCCCCAACACAATTATTAGTAAATTTTACTTCCTACTTCAAACATCACTAGTTGCTTAATATTATTTATTTTATTTGAAGAAGAAATGATAAAATAATTATCTTTAACAATCGTTACATTCAGGACAGAATTCTAAGGGAATATTGTTTCCTCTGTCCGTGTTCGATGGCGCGTAACGCTCGAACGTTATCACGGTTAAAAGAACTGGAAGAAGCGCATTGAAAACGATTCATTCCGCCCGATATTACTTTCTAATTCAACGATCCTCGTCCATTCTATCTCATCCATCGATGGATTTGTACAATAGATGAATTGATTGCACGAAGCGTGGCTAATTAATGAAATATATCTAATCAATTCGTTAATTCTTCTCTCGTGAATAAAGTATATAATTATTTTCTTCGAGTTGTTTGTTCGAGCTCGATTCATACCCAACACTATGTTTTCTGAAAATGTTGCTTCAAATTTACGTTCCTTTTATTTTAAATCCGAGTTGGAGAAGAGATATTTGTTGAAAAACTAGATCGATTTTGGCTTAACGAATTAATTAATTTAAAAATCACGTCAAAGTTCAATATTCCCTCCATGAACAAGTTTCGATTCTATTCGCCCGAAAATACAAATTTTATGCATCATTATGCCTTCGTTTCGATATTTGGAAATTTTTTTTAAAACGAAATATTTAAATGTACAAAAATATAAAATAGTCCAGTACGTGTATTATAAACGATTAATTAAAAATTCTTGTTTAAATTCCATTCCATAGAGGCGATAAAAATATAAATTTCGAATAAATATTCCAAATCTAATTGATACTCGGTGTTCTTCTTGATCTGAAATACTTTTTTCTTTTCTTTGGATCCGAGCCAACAGCTAAATTCCTTCTTCCCGGATAAATCAATGGGAAAGCATTGATTATCCACCTTCTGGTTTGCTTTTGTACAGGCGATGGATTCACTTCTACTGCAGATTATTGTTCAGTACATATAAATACGCGTGAGTTATAACACTCTTTTGTTCTTCAAGACAATAGTTATCGTCGATATAATTTCAAAGGGACGTATATTTCTCGTTTAAAAGCTCGCTTTATTTGCAATTTTTCTTTTCTTTTTTTTTTTTTTTTTTTATTTTATTTGCAATTCTTTGCAATCTTCCCAACTCTTGAAATTTCGAAATTGAAATTTTCGTTGGGGGATATGATCTGCAACTGATTCGATATAATTTCAAAGAGACGTATATTTCTCGTTTGAAAGCTCGCTTTATTTGCAATTTTTCTTTTTTCTTTTTTTTTTTATTTGCAATTCTTTGCAACTCTTCCCAACTCTTGAAATTTCGAAATTGAAATTGGGAGATATGATCTGCAACTGATTCGAGAAACCTGTTTGAATTTCACGCCCAAGTGAGCAAATACTTGGATCCTTTAATGTAGTTAACAATCGGCGTTGCGCAGGTTATAAATTTATAATTACCGGTGCACGAAATTGATTGTTGAGCTGGTTTATTTCGATTACGAATCTGTTATCTCGAATAATACGGATTTCGCATGGTTTTGATCGATGGAGAAATTTCATCTAAATCTTCTTTCTCTTTCCCTCCCCCTTTTTTCATCTTTACCCTTATACTTCTCTCGTGAGAGAAAAAAAGAGTAAAAGTATGTCCCCTCGTTTCTTGCTTCGAGGCGAGGAAAGAAAGAAGAAAACGAGGATTTCTCTTTTAGCTTGATAACAAAATATCGTAAAAAAAAAAAAAAAAAAATGCTGATCGCAAATTAAAGAATCTCTCTCTTTCTCTCTCTCATTTCTAAAAACTTTATCCTCTTGTCCTTCTTCGCCCTGTTATTTATTGCAACAGATTGGATGCTTCGATCCAAGTTTTTGCAATAATTTTAATATTCACGATGATCAATTTATTTTTTATTTATAACAAATCGTCTTAATGTTGAGTTAATTATTCAATTAATTATACAATTTCGTCTCCTATTCTAACAAATTAAATTCCATTCGTCTCTTAACGATATCATCTCTCTCGTGTTGTATTCTTAGCATTGAAAAATTCTTTGATTCGTCGAAGTATTATTTTCTCTTAAAAAAATAAAAGAAACGAGAAAGAGATCGTTCGATGGAATAATTTTTCAATTTTAATTTAAAAACTGTAAAAGTCTCTGTGTATTTAGATTATATATTTAGATCATTAGACGATAGATCGTAACGATCCACGTAGAATTTAGATGAATATTTAATTAATAATCCATACCTGTAACGGCGTCGTTTCTTGTTGATCAGCACCGGAATATGGCGGGTACAGTTGCGCGATACACATAACCGCCTCGTTACAAAATTTCAGCCCCATCACCTCTTCATCCTCTCTCCCGTAACGAAAAGTCAACGTAATTTGCCCGAATACCTTGAAAACAGAGATACGAATTAATAGGGAATGTATGAAGACAGCAAATATTTTTCGTGCCTCCAAATTCACTTCGAAATGTAATTGATCGTACGATTATCCATTTAGAAAAAAGAAAAAGAAAAATATACAATCTCTCCAATTTTATTTTACAATTAGATATTAAAGTCTACTTCAAACTCTTCGAAATAAGTCGAATAACGATTTTGTGCGATTTTCTCCATTCAATAAAAGATACAAAAATTTCTCCAATTTTATTCTCGAAGAATAATATATCTTCTCTTTGTATACAGTAATGTAATGAGGTAAGATAAAATGGGCAAATTTTATTCTCATTTTATTCTTACCCTCCCGTATCAAAGAAGAAGAAATTCAATTATTACGTTGAATATTGAACGTATTCGCGTATCGTTAATTAATAGCAAGTAACTTAATAATTGAGTTAATATTATACTTAAAAAAAAAAAATCTAGAATTATTTTAATCGAGATTTAAACTTCACCCCTCGATACTTACCCTTTTACCTTGCAAAAACTCGGGGTCGGTCAACAGCACACCCTGCAGTTTGTCGATTTTCGCCTCGCTCACTATCAGATCCCTGCTCGCCAAGTATAGAGTGAGCTTGTTGTTCGGCGACGATTTCTTGTACACCCTGAAGAGCATAAGGAAGAGAGCGTGGTTTGTTTGGTTTCTCGGGAGGAAAGAGGTTTAAGCGAGAAACAGAGGAGAAAATTAAATTTCTCTTCTCTGCTCGACGAGCTATTGTGCGCCGCGTTTAAGCGGTGCAGAATCATCAAGCGGTTAATTATGCACTCTACTTCCTTCAAAGTCGAGTCTCGAATAGTTTTGCTCTCAAAAGAAGAAACGAAAGGGGTTGTTATATACATATGGATAAAGTTTACGAAACAAAAATTCTATTTAAAAAAATTGCAATGATATAAATCGAAGCAAAGGAATAATAAGTTTTTTTTTTAAGTGGTATGGAATCGATAATAATTCGAATGAATCGTAAAGCAGGGTGTAAAATAAATAAAATTTTTTTCTAGAAAAATCGACGTTGAAAATATTATACGGAAAAAAATATACACTCATATATGTGTATATTGTTTTTTTTTTTTTTTTTTAAATTTTTCGAAACTTTCGAACACTTGCCCGACGAAAATAGACACTGTGTGTTTATGGAGTTCTTGGAGTCGAAGCGTGCACGCGAAATATGATGATTAATTTTTTTATTCGCAATTTTCATTCGCATCGACGATTACGCCGGTTAATAATTGCATAGGAATTTCACGATCTGATGGAAACGGGTGCATTTATTGCGATGTCATACGATATTATCGATCCCTAATCAACGAGCCCAATCATCGATTAACCCTTTCGCCAAGAACAAATCTTATCGAGATATCGTTACGAGTAATTTTTCTACTTTGCGTATCCAATATTATATTGTTTTTGAAGGGGAAAAAGATTAAGAAACATCGCAAAATTATATTATTAATTTGCTACGAGAAATGAAATTTCGTTTCGAGAGTAAATAAATATTTTTAAAAAAAGTTATTACGCGAAAGTTTTAAAATATTTATACGTCTATCGAGGCTCGATTTGCAATCGTATTTGCATATATCATCGATAACGGTTATTGATTGCGGTTTTGGATTGAATGGTCGAATAAATATCCGGCGGGCCACGAATCGGCAATTTCAAAATTGTGTCTCGTCTAGTTTGGAATTATTAACTTCCTTTCTCATCGATTCTGTATATCAAAGAAAAGAAAAATGTCGTTTTGATCGATCCAAATTTTGACAAATTATTTTATCAATTTTTATTTCCCCAATAACATTAATTTTGCTCGAGAAAATGTTTCTCATATTTCCTAGTTTAAAAAGAAAAAAAAAAGGAAACACGAAATCCATTATTATAATCGATTCAGATCTGACGTTTTGATCATTCGATCAAGAGAAACGCAGAATAGGAAGCAGAATAATTTATTTCTTTTTTTTTCTTTTTTTTTTTTTTTTTTTTTTCGACACAATCGTATCAGATATCAGTCAACATTTCCATCGTGCGTGAAACGCGATATTCGTGTTTCGCAGCGAAAGAAAGAAAGAAACAAAACCTGTACGTGTATAATTATCTTGTCGACGCTGGTGACGAATGTTTACCAGGAACCTTGGAACTCGCATATAGAATATAAAGCAGTGGATGAAGGTGTTTCGCGATTATTTGACCCACAGTGACAGCGCGTAGTTTCAAGGAAAATTTGAACCGCTTCTTGGAAAAATATTTGTACCTTCGATCGAGGGAGGGGGGATGAATATTGCTCCAAGGATCATCCCTCGCTGTCGAGGCGTGTCATGGTGTCGAGTTGTGGACACGTTGCGTCGCGATTTTTCTCCAGCAACTTTTCCAATTATCATCGAGAAAAATTACGAGAGAATATGTTTCTTTTATGCTGTCTTTTTATTTTTTTCTTTAAACGAGGAATAAAATTTGCGGATAATTTTACAGACAAAGGAAAAGAATAAAATCAATAATACATGGAATATCTCTTTCGAAAGCAAATGGAGTTTTCTATTTACGTTAAATTGCGAGTTAAACTTGTGACTCAAGCTTTAAAGAAAAATATTAATTTCCTTTTGAAAAATGGCTGCTTCGAATTCTTGAGTATTATCGAAGTATATATCGGAGAAGATTTAATTAAAACAATTTTTCCATTATATGGATACTGGTTTGTCGCAAAAAACTTTTCTCGTGTCCTTTTAATTAAACGCCAAAAAAGCTGTGCTCGTCGTTAATTAATTTTTATAGAATTTCCATTCCTCCTTCTAATCATTCGAACGAGCGTACTTTATAATTTGAATTATGTCTCATATGTTCCTCCACTTTCTAACGTTCCTGGAATTTCCAACACAGCTGTTAGAAAGAATTATTCTTGGATCTTGTGGTATTTTAGTTTTTTACGAGACAGACACCAGATAGTTGTTGTGCTCCTCGTTTTACGTCATGTTCCACATCCTAAGAATGTTTTCGCTTGTTTAACTCTTTCTCTCTCTCTCGTTTGTTTGTTTCCATCGTAAGGGGGGGGGCGTAACAAGGAGATTTGTTGTTATATAAAACCCTCCCTCGCACGAAACAGACCCCCTTCGAGGGGACCCAACAGGGGGAAGGGGACAGTTTTTGATTATCCACCGGATGTTTCTCTCTCTCTCTCTCTTTTCTTTTTTTCATTTAAGATATAGCAAGTGTATATATAAATATATATATATGGAGAGAATTTTACCTTTGACTGCTGATCGTGTCCGGAATGTTTTCACCAGAATTTTCCACCTTCCTGAAACAAATAATTCGAATTTAATTTTTCCACTGGCAATTTGGATATCAATATGTTTTCATCGTTTAATTTATTTTTCTTCCCCTCTCTTTCTCTCTTTCGAATTTTCAAACTTTCTACGATTTTTTTTCTCGTCGTTTAAAAAAAGAAAGTTTTATTTTTAAGACGATGGAACAACACGTGTTTTATATAGTTCGTGGTAGAAGTCGAATCATCGTGCTTAAAATTTAAATTCCTCGATAGTTTGATAATATTTTTCCTTTGGAATCTTTAGATCTTTAAACTCGTGTCTCATCGATACATATAATCGATAAATTTGATGATTGGCATTATTCGTGGCCAAACTATCGGATTAATTGAAATTGCAAAGCTATGTATATTATTCTGTCTCTCTCTCTTCCTATCGTCAAACTCGTCGTAATCTTCCTCTCTATATTTCGATCAATCAATCATTCGATATATTCGATAAATAAGCTTTCGTCATTTTTTTCTTTTTTTTTGCCAATTATTTATTTATCTCGCCACGTTTATTTATTATATACGTCGCGGCTTATTCGTCGAAATCGTTTTTCAAGCGGAAAAAAATCAGTTCAGCTTCGCGAGAAAGTATTTCTTCTCTTGTAAACTGTTGGAGGAATTGAAAACTGTTTATTTGTGCGATGATATTATTTTTTTCGAAGCGATTTGCTTTGGATCGAATTTATCTCGAGGCATTTTCGCGAATATGCAATTTTGGAATTTAGAATTTCGAATGAAACGAAGAGAGAGGAAAGAGATCTTCTAACAACCTATTGTGAAAGTTCTATTGTTCATTCGTGTGTATTGTTTTATTGCCGATTGTTATTGTCTTTATTCGATGATTTTATTATTATTTATATCGTGGAAACGTGTATATATGATATTATTGGAGTCTATTCATTCATTAGATCCAGATAGAGTTATTAATAAATATTAATAATTTATTTAGATTTTTTAAAAAAGAATATTCAAAATTCTTTCGTTATTTATTAAGAATACAACGAATTACTTTAAATTTCCCTCTTTTAGAGTCACGTGGGCAGATTTAAAAGAAAGATTTAAAAGAAAGTAATTCGTTCACTTGATAAACTTTATCGAAAATAATTGTAATGCCAAACGGGGTCGAGGTTATGTGAAAAGCGGATTAACTGAGTAATAGCTTTATAATATATAAATGTTGTTAAAGCATTTTGATAAACGATCGAGTAACTTTATTTTTTCGACACCGCTCAAGATACTAACAAGATACTAACAAGATAAGCACGAGGGAAATGATGAGTTTAGTTCTCGAATTATTATACACGTAATGGTGAATACGCTATCTCGAAAGCCTTGATCTCTTCTCATCGTCCCTGACACTCTTGCTTGCTTCTCTATTATTATGACGCTCGTATATACCTTCGTCTTTTCCTCGAATTATTAGATCTCCAAAGATCTCCCCCTCAACGTTTTATAGCCCCTCGTGTTAAAAATTCTTTCAACGACGTTTCATGATCTTGGCAATTATTTTCTTCGTTCGTATTATGTGTTCTTCGAATTGATGTGGAATTTAAAAAAAGGAAAGAAATTGATATTTTAATCTTTAATCTTTCTCGAGGGATAAGACGGATCTTTCATGCGTTCGAATATTCTTCTTTTTTTTCTTTCTTTTATTGTTATCGTCTTAGATCTTAACGCGTGAAGAAAGTTGAAGATCGTTTTGCAAGAGGAGAGAAAACTTCGTAATCTTTAGGATCTCGAGAGAGATAAGAATTGAATATTTTTCTTATAGTGATCTTTCTTGTTCGTGAGATGATTCTCTCTTTTTTTTTTTTTTTTTTTCCTAGCGAAGATATCTTGGGTTGAACCGTTTAAAGAAAATTTCAAAGATGTATTTTTAATTCTTTGAAGCTCCAACTTGGGATAAATTGAATTCTTTGTCCTTTTCTACAATAATATCTTCATATTGAATTGCTCAAATTATTTTTCACGATTAACTTAAGGTTAAAAGCGAAACAACGGATACTTTTCTACCTTTCTCTGTTTACCATATCCCAGAATTAACATTGCAAATTATAATAATTAACCAATGCTTAAATAACATCGATCTTAGAATAAACAAATTTAATTTTGAAGGATGCATCTGGATCCTTAAATTTCTTCTTAAAAAAATTAAGAAGGATTAAAAAAAATCTCTAACAACCTCTTGGGTTATTTTTTAAAGAGTTAAGTTATTTTCTAAATTTCTGCCCGACTATGACTAAATTATTTCGAGATTTCGAGTCAAGGGTGGCTCAATTTTCCATATATATATATATATGGGGTAGTTTCATGCTGTTTGCGCGCAATCTGCGTCATTTCGAGGGCGAGTTCCGCGGAATCTCGTTGCCATCACCGTTGTCCAGATAGCCACTCGAAAACGCACGCGAAATTCTGCAGCTAATTCTCTTGGGGAGCACAAAGCGGTCCAAGATCTCCGTGACACGATACGTACGCGCGGAATTCGCCGTGCGTGGGAGTGGGCGATGAACTGGGCTGGGTGCTTGAAAAATCCAGCCACCGATTTCTCTCCTTTTTTTTTTTTTTTTTTTTTTTCCCCCCCCCATTTAATTCTCTATTTTTAACTCGTGTTGTGTGTTTTTCTTTTTTCTTCTTTTTTATCCACGTGCTCGAAAATTTTCGCTCATCGTTTTTTCTGAGGTTAGAGTTATAGATTCGAGGTCGGATAAAATCTAGTGTGGAAGGTTCTTTTCTTTTTTTTTTTGTTTTTTAGAGCTCGATAAGATTGATAAGAATTTGAAATATTTTTAATTAATTAAGATTAACGTAACGAAATTAATTATTTTCGATAGTAGTAGTGCATGTATATTTTCAAAACACGATCCCTTGGTTGGATGCATGCACACAGAATCAGATAAATATTCTCTCGACATCCTCTCAGGCAGGTGAATAGTATATGTGGAATGCTCAAAGGAGGAGAGGATAGACAAATAACTCTGAACTTTTCCACTCCGTGTTTGCAAATCTAGTGTGGGACATCTCTCTCGAGGCGGGCTTTTTTGATCCTTGAAACGCAACAGGAGAGTTGCGGGATTCGTTCGCGTGCAAGGATTGATTCAATTTTTATCTATAATTTTTTTAAAAATTACGCTATTTTTAAGACAAATGAGATGTAAGAAAGAGCGATGGGGAAAATTTAATGGTTGAAATTACGAATAAAGTTACTTCGATAATTTATTCACGTTCGAAACGTAATAATAATAATTGTAATGCTGAGATTATATGGAAAGTGGATCGATGTAACAGCTACGAATAAATGTTGTTTAAACATTTTAACAAGTAATTGTTTAATGTAACTTTATTCGAAATTTTTAATTTAGTTATTTTTTTAATGACCGATTCTGAATTTTGGAAATCTTAGGTGATAAATATTGATAAAATCGATCGATAAATTTTTTAATATTTTTTCACTCGTCGAAGAGAATTTCAATCGTTTACGATCAATTGAATTTGATTGAAACTCCAGTTATTATCTGTAATTGAAGCTGTTTACCAGTATTTCTCAATCGATAGAAATATATTTAATATTTATTTAAGCTGATGATAAATCATTGGTTAATAACAAATATTCGCAGTTTAATGAGAACTCGAAATTTGCAAACAGATCTATTTAACTCTTTAAATATCGTATCTTATATATTTTGAATATTTTTTTTTTTTTAATTTTAATTATTTATTTCCTCTCACACCTAGAAAAGAAATAAAAAATTACATTACGTTACAAAATTATTTTTTTTAATTAAACGAAGCTGAAGAAAAGCGAATAAAATAAAGCGAATTTATTTTTCCAAAGCTTTCCCGATTTTTTTACCAGATAGAAAAAAAGGCGTTTCGCGAAATAAAATCTTATTTTATTTCTTTATATATATTTTATTTTATATATATCTTTTTATTTTATTATATATCTTTTATCTTATTTTATTCTTACTTTAATTGTGCTCTCCAAATTTCACTCTCGAAATATCAACCTCTCTCGACGCCGTCTATTACTGTTATGGATTTGTTCTGTTATGAATTTGTTCTGTTATGGTTCGATTTCCATAAGATTTTCGAGAGAGAAGGGGAAGGAGAGTTTTGTTATTGTCCCATTAATACTCGATCTATTGTTTTGAAAAGTCGAACGATACGCGTATAATATTTTCAAATATAATATAATATTATATATATATATTTTTTAATATTATTTTTTAATATATATATTTTTTTCAAATAATAATAATATTTTAAAATATTAATTATTAATAAAATATTAATTTTTTTTCGTAAATTTCAAATTTGCCTCGCATCGTGTTTAATTTTTCTCGCGCCAAATTTACATCGGCATTTTTTATTTCATTTCGTACAGAAGAGATAATTTTTAATCATGTACTTAATCCTATTAAATTCTATTAAAATCGGAAAAACTTTGAATCGCTATAACTCCGAAAGTAACAACTTCCGGTCAATGACAAAGGACCGTTAGAAGCGCGGTACCTTCCCCTTTAAAACGGTTTTTGTTTCATCTCGATACGACTTCCGGTTCCCGAGATATCATCGTGTAAAGACAAAGGTAATTTTTAATCGTTTACTCTCTCCGTCCTTGTCGCTTAGTCGGATCTCTCGCTCGCACCTCGTCTCACTGACCTATCCCAAACTCCAGACAAGCGACAGCTGCGATTCCTAGAAAAACATAGATAAGCGATTCCTAGAAGAACGTAGTACGCATTTCCAGGAAAAAATATAGGTCACGGCCCATTCATAATCTCCGCACCGTGTTAAGCGCTATGGACACTTTGAGTGCTTATATCTCGGCAACCGATCGAGATATCGGGATAAATCAAAAAGTGACTTCAACGGCATGGTTTTCTCTATTCCCTGACTGGTTTTCGATGACAAAATTTTTAATTTCTTCTCGCGTTTTTTTTATTAATAAAATATTAATTTTTTTTCGTAAATTTCAAATTTGCCTCGCATCGTGTTTAATTTTTCTCGCGCCAAATTTACATCGGCGTTTTTTATTTCATTTCCTTTTTGCACATTTTTTCTAATTATTCAATCCAATCAATTGCCTATTGCGACTCGCGTTTAGTTGCGAAACGCACGATAATTTTCCTCTTAAACATTTATCATACATTTATAATTCTAGTAATTTTTCGACGATTGAAATTTACCAGAGTATTACTTCTATCCCGATTTTTTACGAACAAACATTATTTCTCGAAACGATTAAATTACAAATTAAATATCTAAATATTAACAAAGACAAAAGAGGATTATGTGAAAATTATTTGTAACTTTCGATTATATATTTTATTTACATTCGCGTAAATATAATTGAATTACCCGTCAAAAATTATACAGAGATAAATTACCTCCGTGCAAATAATCGGCGAGCATGATCGATCGCAATCTGTCCTTCATATTGCTAATAAACGATGTTGTTACAATATTATTGGATACGAATTATCCAACGGTTCTACACTAATTTACCCTGGATCGTGATCGAGGCACTAGAGAAACGGGTGAGTATAGGTGATATAGATCGTTATTTGTGTTTCACCCCTATGTGCGTTAATACGCGTATATAATGAGGTGTACGTGGCAAATTCCCAAGTAAAATGAAACAGGCGTAGTGCAACTGTATTGTGTATTAAATTTTAATTAATATCAGGATTCCGCGCAATTATGCACGAGTATATATATACATTATATATATATATATTATTTTGAGGAAAACTTTTGATACACTTTCATTGTTCGTCCCTTAATTCGTTAATTAATATTTCTATATCCTTTTCTCGAACAATTTTGTTAACCCAATCCCGGAATTATCGGAGGGATTGTCGGTCGAAATTTCCCCTTGTTGACATTGTATTTATACCTTCAACCCTGCCAATCGTGACGCGTGAAGTGGCTCGATGAATAAGCCGGCATTTTCAGATATTTTTTTTACAACAACGAGTATGTAATTACGAAAGTAAATTAGAAACACGTAATTACGCTCCTGTCCCAGAATTGATCGGGAAGAAAACAATTATGAGATCGGTCAATTTAATAACAAATGCAAAGATGATTTGTTCAAAGGAATAAAATCATTATTATTATTATTATTATTGTGGCATTTGTAGGAATTAAATTACGAATTAAAATTACCAAAAACGGAGTTATCGTGGAAGAAAAAAAGAAAGTAATTTCACAGATTTTTGATGTTATGCCATCTTTTGGAAATTATTTCACACACACGGTGTGTATTGTTTCACGGTCGTTTAAAACTGTGGTTTGTAGTTGGAAGTAAATCGTAATAGTTAGGAATATAGTTATCGAACGAAAAATCGAACGAATGGAATGAATTAGCTGTCTTTTTTTTTTTCAAATCCAAGAGGATAGATTCTTGCAACTATTGCATGTATTTTCAATGAAATTATCGTTGAATGACGTTAACGTATTTGCAATTAATTATCCGTGGAAAAATGATACACTTACACGTTCGAAAACCTTTTTTTTTTTGTCCAGATTGTCTGTAATATCGTCGTCTAAATTTCACGGTATTAAATTGCTGTTATCTGTTCGTGGAAATTGTCCTCTTTGAAACTGGACACTTTGATGTTGCAAAGTGTTGAATGAAACGCGAAACATTGGAACAACGCGGCGGAAGAAATTTTTATAATTTTTAAACGTTCGAGCTCCCAATATTTTGGGAATATTTGAATTTGATTTTTTCCCCCCTCCCTTTTTATCCATAATTTTTATATTTTCGTTTGAATAACCGAAATATTCGAGGTAAATTATCAAACGAGAATTGTTATTCTATTTAAAATTCGCACACGTTCCACGCGCATTCCCTCGAATCTCGATCAAATTATTTAAGATTTATTACACATTTTTTACTCTTTATTACATATTTTTCGTTTTTGATCATTAAATGATAATTGCTTAAACAAATTTGTGATTAATCAAACATACAAATGAACAGATTATTTATGAATTTATGAAGTGAATTCAGCCAGTCAAATCTTCAATTAATTTTATTCTTTAGAAAGTTTAATTCTTAAACAATTGTCTTTCGATTTCAATCTCTTTCTTTTTCCTTCCTTGAATTCTTCAATTTTCTCACCGAAAGATTCGTTTGAAAAATCGAACATCCTCAAGAATAATCGTAGAAAATAATTTTTCATACCAAACAACAGCAACAGAATTAATTAATTAATTAATTAATTAAGTTTAATGATCGATCCACCACAGATCTTCAAATTCGAATTCCGTTATTCGAAAATTTACACAGAGTCGAGTTCCATTTCCAATGGAGGCTTGGTTAAACGAATCGCGCCTTTCCATTCACGGATCACCGACCAATCTTGTCAATCGTCTCTTCCATTCTGTGGATACGCGCTAACGAATCAATTACCCTCCCCTCCCCTGTCTAATTAGATCCTGCCTCCTGCAAGAAGGAAGATTCATCTCCTCCTCGATTCGTGGACGGGTAAATAAAGCTCATCTCGATATTGAAATTTTTCCCGATAAAAATATTGCATCTTGTTGCGAATCCTCTACGGCGGAATAAATAAATTCCATTCTTTTCTTTTCCCGCTTTATTTTAAAAAATGATCCCCCTCCCCTTCGAGGTTTATCCCAAGGTGAGATGCAGCGCGTCGCTTTTTAAAATTCCGATTAAATTTTTTTTATTATATAGAGTTTTCAAGATCTTGTTTGGTCGATCAGAGTTTCGTCTGGAACTTTCTCTCTTCGCTACATTTTCAAAAAATTTCTTTTTTTTCATTGTAGAGCTTGAAATTCGTCGATCTAGATTTCTTCTTTTGTACGTATTTTCGATAATTTCTCATTGTAAATTTTGAAATTAAATAAAAGTTGCGTTAGAATTCGTTTAGTTTTGATAACGTTTTTTTTTTTTTACTCCAAACATAGATCTCGAAAGCTGGAATTGAAATTGAATATATATTCATATCAAACGTAGATCTTAAATTGAAGTTGATTGATTAATCTTTCTACATTCTTTGTACATAATTTTTTTTTTTATTCCAAGCATAGATCTTGAAATATAGAAGGAGTTTGTTCCCATAGAAAGATCGTCGATTCTTGGAAAACACTTTTATTCTGATAAGAAAAAAAAAAGTGGTATTTTAAAAAATCACGATACATCGTTTCGAATATTATTTTTTAAGGAATTATAAGATGAATGATTTTCGTAGAAAATTCTATAAACAAGATAATGGTTTTTCTCTCAAGCATTCGAAGAAGGAAAATAACGTGCCTATTATTAAATAAGAAAGCAAAGTACAGGAGGATACTTGGAAATATTATATTCTATAACGAATCGTTCGAACGAAAATTCTAACCTCGTAAATCGAACAGTTATCCAACGACCGACGTGGTATCACGATATACATTTTCGAAATGCAAATTCTCACGTCGTAAATTTCCCTTCTACGCCGCCTAAACGACAATTGGATTTTATCGATTCACCACCTTCGTCTCCTCGACCACGAGGTCGTCGAGGTATCGATCACCTGGCTTTCGTCTCGTTTGCGGGTCATCACGATCTTTTTCGAGTTATCGCGAGTTCCAAAATCATTCTGTTTGTAACCTGGATAAGCAATCATCTCATCATTCTCTTCCACGTTTTCTCGATTTCTCTCTCTGGGTGGAATCCAAGGGAGCAAGAATCATCCTCCTGGGCAAACAATTTTCTCCCTTTCTTTTCGATTTCTTCACACGTATGGATATGGGGATATTATTATTATTCCTTCCGTGCTCGTGACATGGTCGAGTCGAGGGAAGGAAACGAGGTAAAAGGTCGAGGGGAAATTGTGTATCGGTGGTATATGTGAATTTGCTTCCTTTCAAGCTGTGAGATCTTTTCGAATTTCGATTATTTTCTGACATGATCTTTGATTCTCGATGTAATTATGCATTGGTGTAATTATGCATTTTTTGAATTATTTTTGATATTAATAGGGGATAAAAATTGGAAGAGGATCGTGGACGATCTCTCTTATGGATTTATAATTTTTCGAATTGATCTTGATAATTAATAAAAATTGGTTTCTAAGTTTTGGTAACGATCTTCTTATTTCTTGCGAATTTCTGAATGTATTGTTATAAGTAGAAAGATCAAATCGGTATCCAAGAGGTTAAAAAAAAATGAATGGAACCAATGGAATAATTTGTTAAACATATTGTAACATTAGAGATGTTATTTTTTTTCAAAATGAATTTTATTCTCTTATCGAATGTTATCTCGTTATTTCAAAGGTTAAAGGTTTAAAGGTTTTCGAGCATGATAATTATCTCGTCCAGACAATTGGTTGCAGTTGATTTTCCAACGCGAGAATTGCAACTAATAAAATTTGTTAGTTAATTTGTGACGTTTGCGGTTCTCGAAACAAGGACTCCAATTGTCCAACTCCTCGTCGAAAGGGGTTGTCGCTTCCCTTTAATATCCCGTCTTCCCCGCGATTTCTCGACTGATTCGAGCTATCCATTTCCAAGATACAATCACTTCCAACAATACTCTCACTCGTAAATTATAAAGTCGAGCGAAAGCGTGACTTTTTGTATTCAATTTATTTGAGAAAATTACAAATTTTATTACGAAACTTTTACCGAAAAATAAACTAAATTTTTCCACTCCTCTCTGAAAACATTTAGAAGACAACGATCTATAAATAATCCCTATTATCCCTATAATTTAAAATAAATTCCAATTTATAATATTTATATATTTATATTATTTATAATTATATATATTTATATAATTTATATATTTATAATATAATAATTTAAAAAAAATTCCAAATATAAAATAGAAAAAAAATTATTATTGCAATATGTTAAAAATATTAAACACAGTTTTGTAAAGTAAGGAAAGTCGATGATATCGCGTGCTCACCTGTCCGTTTGCGTGCCACCAGGCTGCAATTGCGGCAACGATTGTGTTTGTTGTAACGATCTCTGCCCACGATTTTCCAACGCGTTTGATTCCTTTTTACCCGTCTCCTCGCCGCGTCTACTCTCTTCCATCTGTGCGACAAAGGGAGAGTGAAAATTATTATTTAATCGAACGAAGATATTCATATATTTATGGGCAGGTTGAAAGAACAGAATACACTCGATTTTGTTTGCTTTTACGAAAATTATATTGTATTAATTGAAGTTAATCGAATGTTGCGTGAAAGTGAGATAATTGACGTTGTTAAAAACTGAGAAGAGAGGTGCTCGTGAGATAATTCATTCAGAAGTAGTGTTAAAAGTTGGATGAATAATTTTTCGAATACCTCGATTTTATTAGCATTGTGGGAAAAGTGAAAGTTGATGGATGGAGGTACTTGTGAGGTGATTGACATAGGAAGAGTAGATGGTTGAATATTTTCGAAAGTGAGATGGATTTTAATTTAATTTGGTATATTTGGAATGTGAAATTTTAGAACAAATGAAGATAAAATTACGATTTGAACGACAAACAACTTTCTTCTTCGTTTTATATATATATTTTTATGAAGTAGAAGTTGGCTTTAATTAGCTTAAATTTAGAATTTAAGGAAAGAAGATAGAGAGGGGAAAAAATGAAGAAAAGGGGAAGGAAAGTTCGTGAGGAATGCGAAAGGGGGATAGTTCAGAATTTTAAAGTTAATCGAGTTAAGAACAATGAAAGTTGAAACTGCGAGTATCTTATTTAATTATGCTTACGTTGTCTTTTTATTACCAAATAGATTCATAGTTTTCTATCCGAAAATTAAAATTCCAACAAAATTGAAATTTTTCGAAGTTGATTTCAACCCTTTTCAAACCGAATTATATTTTTAATTATATTCGTTTCTGCTTAATAATTTAATTAATAAGACATGTATCACAAATAACATTAGAGATGATCATAAATAACATTGGCTTAAGATAAGAGGCAGAAAAATCAATAATCTTGATCTCTATTCGTTTTTTGTCAAATATTGTTAATTTCTGAAAAGGAAAATGTCTGCCATTTATGACGAAATATTCCATACCGTGATAGGGTAAAGGGAGACCCGATGCTCGGCAGAATGCGGCGTCAACTCGGTCACTTTAGGCTCCAGGTGTCTTTCGTTCTCAGCCATATCTTTGATCCCTTTTCGGCCACAGAGGCCTATCGATAGAATAGAAAATCACACGCACAAGATTTGCACTGAAACACTCGTGGAAAGTTCTCAATCAAGCACTCGATTTCTCTTGTTCACAAATTCTCGGGAAATTTCTCTCATTTTGATGTAACAAATTTTTGTTTTGTCTCTTGTAGTCTCTAGTAGTTCGTTTAAGAGATCAAAGTTTTGGTTCAAAGTTGACGACAAACGAACGAGTCGAATTTGTTTGAATTAGGCGATTGAATCTTAAGAAAAATATCGATCGTTTCCTTTAAAAAAAGAAAAAAAAAATTAGAAAAAGAAATATTATATCATATTATATACAAAGAGCAAACGTTAAAAGTAATATTAAAAATTGCTTCATCATTTTTTCTTTCTTTGTTAAATTTTTGAAAATATGATCTTGATGATAGAAAATAGGGAAAAATGTGATATGAAATTTTATCAAATGCTTTGTTAGTATTCTTCTAGACAAAATATCTGCAATATTGTAGAATTAGTGAATTTATTTTATCATATATGAAACGGAACGAATAATATGTTAATCGAAGCAAATAATGTTCCGTTATGTATTTATGTGTATGCTGTTGTATTATTTTATTCTCTATATGATATGGAACGAATTATTTTATTCGAAATTATTGCAAATATCAGCATATTTTCATTTTTAAATTGAATTAAAAGTTGATAAATATCAATAAATAAGTTGCAATAAATTTTTGGTGAAATTGGTATATTGAAGGAGTTAAAAAAATCTTTCATTTTATTTAAAAAAAAAGGAAATGGCATACTTATTTTTTATTAGATAGTTGTGAACATAACATTTAATTGAGACATTTTCTTCTATTTTGCATAATTAAAAAAAGAAGATCTTTGTTTAAGATCTTGTTAACTCACCTTTTCGATTAATTAATGTAATTAAACTCGAATCAAATCAATATAGAAATAAAGATCCAAACTTCAAATAGAAAGACTTGAGATAACTTTTAAATCAATTTAAAGTCGTCAATATACCATTAATAAGATTATTGCCAGTATTTCAATATTTTTCCAGAAATAAATCTATATTATCACTCTAAAACCCCCATTAATTAGAAAAACTTTAAACCGATATAGTATATATATAACTCAGAAGAATGTAATTTCTAATCAATGAACGAAAGATCATTAGAAGCGCGGATTCTTCGCCTTTAAAACCTCCTTTGGTTCATCTTAATACGACTTCCGGTTCTCGAGATATCATCGCGTAAAGAAGAAATAATTTTTAATCATTTACTTAATCCTATTAAACTCTATTAAAATCGGAAAAAATTTGAATCGCTATAACTCCAAAAGTAACAATTTCCGGTCAATGATAAAGGATCGTTAGAAGCGCGATACCTTCCCCTTTAAAACGGTTTTTGTTTCATCCCGATACGACTTCCGGTTCCTTAGATATCATCGTATAAAGACGAAGGTAATTTTTAATCATTTACTTAATCCTATTAAACTCTATTAAAATCGGAAAAACTTTGAATCGCTATAATTCCGAAAGTAATAACTTCCGGTCAATGACAAAGGATCATTAGAAACGCGGTACCTTCCTCTTTAAAACGGTTTTTGTTTCATCTCGATACGACTTCCGGTTCCCGAGATATCGTCGTGTAAAGACAAAGGTAATTTTTAATCGTTTACTCTCTCCGTCCTTGTCGCTTAGTCGGATCTCTCGCTCGCACCTCGTCTCACTGACCTATCCCAAACTCCAGACAAGCGACAGCTGCGATTCCTAGAAAAACATAGATAAGCGATTCCTAGAAGAACGTAGTACGCATTTCCAGGAAAAAATATAGGTCACGGGCCCATTCATAATCTCCGTACCGTGTTAAACGCTATGGATACTTTGAGTGCTTATATCTCGGCATCTGATCGAGATATCGGGATAAATCAAAAAGTGACTTCAACGGCATGGTTTTCTCTATTCCCTGACTGGTTTTCAATGACAAAATTTTTAATTTCTTCTCGCGTTTTTTTACACGAAAAATCAAAGTTCTATTTGTGATTGGTCCGCGTAATGATAATGGAAAGTATATAGAGATATAAATTCATTTTTATATTTATTATTATATTTTGTGTATAATACTCTTCCTGTAGATTGTGCTTCTATTTGATAATTTTCCGCGAAGGTTTTCTAATTGCGGATAAAAAAATTGACAGCGGACAGATAGATTCTTAAATCGATTTCTTCTCAAAGCTTTGTAATAACTTGACCCAAGAAATCCGATATTGTCCAAGTTGTCTGAGATACCTTTTAAAAGAGTCGCCAATCTTTCTATAAAAATATATATCCTTCTCTTCAACTATCCAATATCCTTCTCATAAATTCTTCCACGTGACTCGAAAACCAAGTAATAGTGATACACACTTTTCGAAATATCCTCAGTTTATACGAGAAAATCATGCAACCAAAAAGATTTAAACGAGCAATTCAAATCATTTCGATCTGTTTAATATCCTGAGATCGATGTAGCTTCTCTTTCGTGGAATTTAGCATTCGTCCCAGGACGGCTATTCGATCGACTCAGCTTTCTCTTCGTCTTATTTTGAATCGAATCAAAGCGTATCGCCTCGTCTGCAATATTTACTTGCTTGTAGACATCGAGACTCACAGAGGATTATAAATTGATAAATATCAATAATTTTCTTAAAAAAAAAAAGAAAATAATTATAAGACTTCTTGATGAAAAATTATTTTCACGTGAAAGAAAAATTATTACATTTGTCGAAAGATATTTCAAATTGAATTTTGTAAAATCGTTATACGTGTTATACGTATATGTATTTTTATTTTCAGAGATATGTATTTTTATTTTCATTTTCCTTTCCGCGTTATGTAATCGTATTCACACATAATAAGCTTTGCAATTAAAAAAAAAAAAAAAAAAAAATATCTCTTCAAATTAACGCATAACACACTTTAAATTATTAAAAAATAATTGCTAAATATTATATTATAATCCTATTACAAAATATTTTTCAATTAATATTGAAAACAAAATTAAATTACTTTGATAATTGGCACGATATATTTGGCCGATAACAATTAATCCGGAATTTCAATTATTCCGGATCCGCGCAAAATGGCCAGATTCGACAAAGTTTCTGACAGCTTTTATCCGATACTCTTTTAAACTCTTCCTCTTCTGGAGGAAAGCGCTTCACTCATCGAGAAACTCTTCAGGGATATTCTCGTTTACGTCATCATTATCCATTATTCGCCATGATCAAAGGCATCCGGTTTTCTTCCTTATCTTCGTTTCTCATTTAGTTCCTAATAAATTCTCGAATACCTATTCAAAAAAGATAATTGCATGCCCAATTGCGATTAATAACCAATGACTCCACGAATTATAATGAAAACTAATTAAGAAATTCCCATATTGCTTGAATAGAGATACATTAATAATTTCTCCTCCAATAAAATTAATATAATACCGAAACTAGTTAAACATTTGTTAATTAAAAGATTCAGGTAAAAAAGAAGAAAAAAAAAACCTCTCGTTTTTAATTCACAATGATTTTTGTCATCGTTCGATATCCAATTGAGTAGTAAAGTAACGTGTTCGTTTCGTTTCGTTTCGATTATTATTTACCCCTATCGAGAAATAATGATATAAAAAGAAGATAGAAGAAAATTCGTTCTCGAACTTTACAAATTCCGTGACACGATTCCTTAAGGGACTAAAAAAAAAAAATGTGTTTTTACGGTTATGACACGAAGAAGAAGGGAGGAGGAGGTGGAATCCCGCAAGAAAAAGAAAAAAAAAGAAACCCTCCCCAACTTCGAAACACCATCAGACGTGACTAACATTCCTTCGCAAAAAAAGATGACTGACGAGACGATGGATGATACGAGGAGGAGGGGGGAGGAAGGGAAAAAAGAACTCCTTGGATTATATTCTTTTGTGCTCTCTCGTTTACTTTAACGTGGACGAAAAGTTGCGCGGAATAAACTTGAAACCCGGCCGCCCTTTTCAGGGATCGGTTTAACGAACTGGAAATTTCGGACTTTATTCGACGCGTTCGCTTCGATAGCTCGGCCATTCGAACATTATACGTCCTTTTTTTCTTTCCCTTTTCTAGAAAGGAGTTAATGAGATGCGGGGGGGTAAGGGAGGTGTAATATATTCACACGTGAAATAAATAATACGAATTGCTCGATAAAATCATTCGGTTGGACAGGAAAGGTTATTGCAACTGCTTGCTCCACCATTTTTATTATAAGCGCGTTATTTAAATGGCGCAGAAATCTTTCTCCCCTAATAAAGCGAATAAACTAGATATGGTTTTTAAAATTTTTAACGATTACTTTGCGTGTTGTGCGAGATAAAAAAAACAAAAGGAAAAATTATTTCGTTATTATTTTCGATATAGCACGAGATGAGAAGGCATTAAAACGAACAATTAAAACCACGAGCTTCGATTTTTCTGGATTTCCAGCGAACCGAGAGAATTCGAATTGTCCCAATTTTTCTCTTCGACAAATTCAAACTGACAATCGAAACATCGTTGTTGTTTTCTGTATTGTCACTGATTTTTCGTTTTTTTTTTTTTTAATTTTAATATTTTTAGATTAACAGAGCCAGCTCGACGAAAAAAAAAAATCGAACAAACGCGTTATCTTAATCCCACTTCCCTTCCCAAATCTTATTTCCCTCCGCTATTGCATTTATTCACCGAAAGAATCCGTCTGACGTCAATGCTCCCCTTTTATGCCTGTCGCGTTATTAAAGATTCATCCCGGAAAAATTCAAAGGTGGAGGAATATCGAATTGCGAAATATAAATATTTCCTTCTACCGCCGCTTTCTATACGCTCTCGAGAAAGGAGCCAACTTTTTTCCCAATAAGGTTTGCGCGCAAGTAAAAGTAAAGGGATGGCCGAACGAACGGAGGATATCAGTCGGCGGGAAATATAATGCGAGATGTGCGTGTATTTGT